TCTTTCAGTTTCAGGCCTGATGGGTCCAGAGCTACAGTGATGATCAGCTCAGTCTCTGGCCCTGCACAGCCTGCACTGTGAGTCCCACCATGGTTATGGGAGTCCTGTTCCAGTCTGGGACCCATTGCCTGGACCGGGAGCCCCAGAAGGAGCCTTTGCCCTGCACATACAGGATCGTGCACATCATAAGAGACAGCCTTGCTCCACATTCTCCAGCCTAGCAAGCTGCATTTGACTTTGCTCTCCCTTTCCAGAATGCCCTGCAGGCACATATGGCTATGGCTGTCGCCAGATCTGTGACTGCCTGAACAACTCCACCTGCGACCACATCACCGGGACCTGCTACTGCAGCCCAGGATGGAAGGGGGCACGATGTGATCAAGGTAACAATACTAGTAAATAATAACAGCTGCCTCTGGTTGTGTGACCACACTGACACACAGGATTTTCACATTACTTCATGCAATCTTCGCCACAATTCTGCAAGGCATATCTGTAATTTTTTTTATTGCCAGATGCCTCTTGTCAACCTTCAGATATAGAACCTAAAGGTCAGAGAGGATCGATATTTTCTCAGAATCATCTAGCTAATATGTGCTCATATGTTAGAGCCAGGTCTACCTGATTATAAAGCTGGCATATTTTCCATGTGGCACAGTAGATTATGTGTTGGGCTGCTAACCACAAGATCAGCAGTTTGCGACCACCAGCCCTTCTGTGGCAGAAAGTTGAGGTTTTCTACTACCATAATGACCCACAGGCTTGGAAATCTATGGGGCAATCCCATCCTGTCCTATAGTGTCACCATGATTTGGAATAGACTCGATGGCAGTGAGGTATTTGGTTTGGTATAGTTTTTTTTCCCAGCTTTATTTGAATGTAATATGCCTGCAAAATAAAAATACATTTAAACTGTATCATTTGGTAGATGCTGACATTGGTGTATGCCCAAGAAACTACCCCCACAATAATGATAACAGATACCCATCACTTCAAAACATTTCCTTATGTCCTTCTCTGTTTTAGGCCCCAAGTAGTGCACAGACTACTTCTATCCCCATAGATTTGTTTGCATTTTTCAAAATGGCATATACAGTAAATGGAATCCCACCACCCTCCCTTGGCTCTGGCTCCATTTACTTAGCACAGGCCTTCTGAGGTTTATCCATGGTATTGCTTGCACCAATGGCTCTGTTCATTTTAAGGCTGAATAGTATACTATTGAATATATATGCCATAAGTTCTTTATATTTTCTCCTGTTGATAGACATTTGGATTGTTTCCAAGATGGGAAGAGGGAATTACTGATAAAATTACTATGGATAAAATGAACATATTTCTCTCGTGTAAATGCCTAGAAGCAGAATGACTGGGTTGTCATGTAGATGTGTGTCTCATGTTTTAAAGATATTTTTAAAAGGGTATGTATCATAATCCCATAGTGTTTTACACATGCCTGGTTTCACCTGGGAAACTCTGATTATGGGGCGTTTCTGGTGGTCCTGGAGCCTGCCTGTCCGAGAAGCCCAGTTCATAGATCCCGTGGTGCTCTTTGGTAAATAAGAAGCAGATGGGCTACCAACGATGATAGAAAGTTATGACAGTGGTAGGTGCATTATCTTCAATGACAGATCATTTAGACATTCATATTTACAACTTTTAGCTTTGTTCATAAAGTGGGTTTTGTTCATTTGCCTGTCATAGCAATTTGACATGCTAGTTCTTGACCACCTCACTATTGCAAATGTATGTTGTACTATATCTCACTACACTGACCTTGATGGTGTGTGTTTTAGGTCAGACTTTTATAGGAAGATCTGCTAACACTTCGAATTGTAAAATCATAGGAACGTTTCAACAGGGAGCAGCTTCATGCATGTCAGTTTCCTCATTTACAGAGGATGAAAGTATAGTCCAAGAGTTTAAGAGAAAGTTCAAAATATCTGAGTCCAACGTCACAAAAAACATTCACTTTAGATGCTGGATTTCTTGGTTCTCAATCAATATCGTTAGTGTCCTTGGTGGAAGGGCCAGGAGGAAGAACCTCGTGGAGCTGAATTTTGAATTCAAGTAACATTTTAGAGTGATGTCATCAGGCAGTAGCAGGACAAATTGTTACCTACAAAATAACATTGTTCAGACCAATCTCTTCAAGGCAAAAGGCCTGTTGAAATCACAGATCTTGTTCTTGGAATTGATAATGAAGTTATGCTTATGATGTGAAAAATGTGAAAGTACCCTGGACTGATAAAAGGACAAGCCAATCTGTCTTGGATGAAGTAAGGCAAGAGTGCTCTTGAGAGGCAAGACGGTGAGACTTCATCTTACATACTTTGGACATGTTGTCAGCAGGAGACCAGTCTCTGGAGGAGGACATCAAGCTTGGTAAAGAGGATGGACAGCAAAAAAGAGGAAACTGTCAAGGAGAGGGATTGACAATGGGATTGAGCACCAGAACAATTGTGGGGTGGCGCCAGGCTAGGCCGGCTTTCATTCTATTGCACATCGGGTCACTGTGGGTGGGCACCCACTCAAGGGCACCTAACAGCAACATGTTTATTTGAAAAGAACATTACTGTTAGAAATGCTAACAGTAGCGTTAGGGAGAACACCCTCAGTCTTTTGGAGCATGGAAGACTTCATCAACTCAGTGTCATCACTCATCAGGACCCTACAGGGGAGGGCAGAACGGCACCTTTGGATTTCATGGGCTGTACATCTTTGACAGACGTAGAAAGCCTCATCTTTCTCCCACAGTGGAGCTACTAAAGTCCAACTGGTTAGGAGGACGGTGTGTAAACCAATACCCACCAGGGCTCCTTTGCAGGACCGCTGTGCGTCAGGTGGGGTGGAAGCTCGGTGGTGGGGGTCCTGTTGAGTTGTTCTGATGCATGGCAATCCTCTGAGCAACGCAAGGAAACCCTGCCCGGCTCTGCACCGTCTCCCTGCCCTTTGCCCTTGGCAAGTCTCTAGCTGCAGCCACCGTGTCAGTCCTTCTCACTAAGGGTCTTCCTCTTTGTCACCGACCCTCGATTTTACCCAGCACAATGTCCTTCCTCGGGGACTGGTCCCAACTGCTCACATCGCTAAGGTACATGAGAGAAAATCCTCTCATCCGCCCTTCCAAGGAGCCTGGTGGCTGTTATTCTTCCAAGACAGGCGTGTTTTCTTCTGGCAGTCCACGGTACTTGTAACATTCTTTGCCAGCACCATAATTCACATGCCTCAATTGTCCTTCAGTCTTCCATAAGCTCAGTAATGGCTATCAATAAAACAAAATAAATATTAAGTACATAAAACAAAACAAAGACAAGTGAATGAATTGCCAAAGTACTCAATCTAAAATATGTCAGAAGCCTCCAAACCCTACAGTTGAACCTTTGGGTTCAGGAAAGACTGTCTTTTTTTTTTTTTGGAGTCTCAGAGCAATGCTAAGCCCAGACATCTGAAAAATGAGGAATGTTTGCTTTTATCCTCCCTCTTCGGTTTCCCGAATTAACATTTCATGAAATACGCAGGCAGTAGTGCCCTGTGAGGATTTTGTCGATAAAGAGCAAACATTTGTCCTGCCAATGGTCATCTTTAGCGTGGTCTCTTTTTCCTCTTCTAGTTGGTGTTGTAATAGTGGGAAATCTGAACAGCCTAAGCCGAACCAGTACGGCTCTCCCTGCCGATTCCTACCAGATCGGGGCCATTGCGGGCATCCTCGTTCTCGTGCTGGTCGTTCTCTTCCTCCTGGCATTGTTCATGATTTATAGACACAAGCAGAAGGGCAAGGAAGCCCACATGCCAGCAGTAACCTACACCCCTGCAATGAGGGTCATCAATGCGGATTACACCATTTCAGGTAAGGCTTGAGTTTTGAGAAGCAGGTTGCGCCTTTAGAGCAAGAGTCCCTTCCCGTCTGTGTAACCAGGTGTTTGGCTGTGCTAGCGATTGTTTTCGTCAATTCGCCTTATGTTTGGAAACCATACAAATTGTTGGAGATGTGTCTTGCATCTCAATAGTAGTAAAAGAACCGTTCGTTTGTCTTAGAAGAGGGATTTTTAAATTGGGTTCACTACCTGGTTACTTTAGACTTAGGGGATTTCAGCTCAGAGGAGGCTTTCCTTTGAGTGTGTGGGAGGCATAGAAGAGGGGGAACAAGGTTATCAAGGTTGTAAGGCAGATTAGGGATGGAGACCAGGTCTTCTGCCCTTGACTTTGAGGGCTTTCTACTGTGCCTCCCAGCCCCACCCTGCCCCACCCTGGGCCCCCCTGAATCATTAATAGCAATTGGGTTAGGTGGGAAACAGCTTTGGTACAAGCAGGAACCAAGGATGTTCTTCAAATAGCTCTTTTGTCTCTTCTTTCATATCACGAGGACTCTCCATAAAAACCAAAGAGAATGTTCTAAGTAATAGACTGAAGCATCAGAAGAAGTAATCACCTATTCTGAGGAATTTGAAAGCCTTAACTATATATTATTTAGGGGGCAATTGCTAAAGAGGTTCCACTTGTGTGTTTATAAATACACTGGTTCTCGGGAAATATGTGAATAAGGCAATTTATTCGGTAAGATCTTTCTGGTACAGAATTATTGTACCAAGAACTCTGCATCTTCAAAGAAAAGAAAGAAAAGATCTAGCCAAAGTAGTTCCTAAGGAATGCCTTTCCAAGTTGTACATGCCCAAAGCAAAGAGCAATTGTCCATGGATTCTTTCACACTTCCCCGGGAGGCAGGGAGGCAGGCAGGTGTCTGTTGCTTCTCGACACTTTGCTGAGTATTTGTGGGCAGGAGGAGACTCTGCCCAGCTTGTGTTATGGAGGCCACCCAACCATTTGTTCTTGTTACTTAGCCTCCTTGTCTTGACCATCCCTGCTCTCCTTGCAGAAACTCTTCCTCACAGCAGTGGTGGAAATGCTAACAGCCATTATTTCACCAACCCCAGCTACCACACTCTTACCCAGTGCGCCACGTCCCCTCACGTCAACAACAGGGACAGAATGACCATCGTCAAGGTGAGGGGGAAATGGCTCAAGCTTTGATGGTGGGCAGGGAAGAGAAGAAGACAAGAGTTTATTAAGGGTTCCTGTTGACAACATGCCATTCTCTGCCCTTGATATATTTATGCATAGAATTTAGTACTCTAAAATATCCAGTGGGAAGTGTCATAGTATCTCAAGTTAATAGTCAAAAAGTCTGAAGAATTTAGAAACCAAAAAACCAACCTCTCTGCTATCACGTCCGTTCTGACACATGTCAGCCCAACTGGACGGGGTAGTACTGCTTCTGTGGGTTCATGAGACTTCAACTCCTTATGGAAGTAGAATGCCTCCTCTTTCTCTTGGGGAGTGGCCGCTGGTCTCACAGCAGTGGTGGAAATGCTAACAGTCATTACTTCACCAACCCCAGCTACCACACCCAGTGTTCCATGTCCCCTCATGTCGGCAACAGGGGTAGAACAACCATCAAGAAGGCAAGGGGCTCCACTACACCACTGGAGCTGCTTGAGGAATTTGGGCTATGATCTGCAAGGTCGGCAGTTCGAAACCACCATCCTATACTACAGGAGAAAGAAAGGGCCTTATAGTCCTGTAAAGAGTTATCATCTCAAGAACTCCCAGGGGGAGTTCTGCCCTGTCTTATTGAGTGGCTATGAGTTGGCATCGACTCGATGGCAGTGAATTTGGTTTGGAAACAGCTAGTGAATGAAGCGGCTCAAGTGAGCCAAGGACTTCTGTGTCTACTTTCTTGGAGGGAAAGTGTCTACTCTGGCATAAGAATTTAAAATAATGTTTCTAACTAACATTAATGCATTCATGTAAGTATAATGACGGAATCATTTCTGGTTTCAATTACCAAGTTTTTTTAAGCTTGTCTTTTATTGGCCGTTCTTGGCTACCTATTACTTGAGGAACAATATTAGGCCTTCATTTGGGTTGAACCACATGAAACTGCTATTTTTGTGGGTCTAGCATGGTCAACTAATAAGCACTTTAGAGAGAAAACTTCACTTACACGTCACACCAACATTTTGAATAAGTGATTACTGCCCCCGTTTTGTAAATGAGGAACATGATGCCCGGAGCAGTTAGCAGCCTAGAGCCCCCCACATCCCAGCGCTGCCCCTTGCGGATCAACCCATCTAACACACCTCCAAGCCTTGGCAACAATGTGAGAATTCCCAAGCATTTCACCCTTTCAATTGCTCCAAATCACATACCCAGTCTCCATCATCACATTCCCATTCTTTATTAAAAGAAAACCAAGCTAATGAAATTAATCCATCAGTAATTAATTTAAGGCAGCTGAATTTTTATTAGAGTGCCTCATATTTAAACAGCCTTCCACATTCTCCAGAGACTTTCATATTCATCATTCCATTTGATTCTCATACTAATTCAGAGAAAGAGGCAAAGCACATAATCCTATCCTCATCTTGATGACCAACCTGCTTAGAGTTGACTGTCACTCATACAAATTCCTACAGTTCGGGAGGCGGAGCTCAGACCAAGGCTCTTCTCCCCCATGCCAGTACATAAGCCTGTTAGGATGGCTAGTTGGACAGAGTAAAAAGACCAATATGAAGCTGTGAGGGAAATAGTTGGGGGCTATGAGACATAGATCTTGCTCCCTTGTCAGTAAGGTCTACCGGGTCAGAGAATATCCTTTCTTCTCATGGTGTGGTTCACCTGATTAAAAGACCTGTCCTTGGAATAGGTTGTGGGCCTGCTTTACCCCAGAATGGTGGTAATGGGCTGTGTGTGGCACAATGTGTTCTTTTTAATCTATTATTGTTTATATTTTTAACAGTCCAAGAATAACCAGCTATTTGTAAATCTTAAAAATGTGAATCCTGGGAAAAGAGGCCCTGTGGTGGACTGCACGGGGACACTTCCTGCTGACTGGAAACATGGGGGCTACCTTAATGAGCTCGGTAAGGTCTCTCCACCTGGGCTTTCAAACCCTCCCCTCTCCTGGGTGACTCCTCGTAGCAAGACTAGCAGTTCCAACCCACCTGAGGGTCCCTGGAAGCTGGTCCTTGCCATCTGTTTCTGAGAAGCCCAGCAGCCTTGGAAATTCTGTGGAGCAGACCTACTCTGCACACACGTGGTTGTCATGAACCCAAACAGACTCAACAGCGACTAAGAAAAACCCTCTCAATTGCCTGAAATAGTCGGCGGTGCATGCCTGTGGCAAAGAGATGGATTGAAACCAGGCATCTCCAAAGAACAATCGCAGAGTTGTAGCAGGACATTGATGAGCAACAGCCGATGAGTCAAGCCAGATTCATCAGAGGATATGAAGCAAGAGGTATCACTGCTGCTGGTAGATAGAAAGCATAGAATAGCAGAAAGATGTTTTCTTGACTATGCAAAGATACTCAGGGATGGCCATAGCGTATTGTGGATAACACTTCAAATAACAGGAATTTCAGAACATTTCCTTGTGCTCATGAGGAATCTGTACTAGAATAAGAGATGATCATTGAAATAGAATAAGGGAATATTGAGTGGTTTAAAATCAGGAATGGTGTGTGTCTGTTACATTCCTCTACTATAGTTGTTCAGTTTGTATGTTGAACACATAATCTGAGAAACTGGACTATATGAAGAAATCTGTATTAGGATTGAAGGAAGACTCATTAACGTACGATGTGTAGATGACACAATCTTGCTTGCTGAAAGGGAAAGAAGAGTTGAAGCACCTACCGATGAAGATCAAAGATACATCGTTTAGAAGGGATTACACTGTAACATACAGAACAAAATTTTCACAACTGGACCAATACACAGCAACATGAGAAAAGCAAAGACTGAAGTCGTTGAGGTTTCTGTTTTACTTGGATTCACAAGCAATGCCCATGAGGTCAGCAGTCAAGAAGTTATTGCCCTTGAACAAATCTGAACAAAGACCTTTGGCAGCAAAGCTTTCACTTGGAAAACTAAGATGCAACTAATTCAAATCACGGGCTAGTCCATTGCTTCATTTGCATGTGAAACTGGGTGACAAATGTTGTTGTGGTTGTTGTTCTCATCAGGTGCCATCAAGTCAGTTCCAATCCAAACGCACCTTGTGCACAACAGAAGGAAACACCGCCTGGTCCTCCACCAACTATTCCTGTGTTTGAGCCATTGTTGCAGCCATGGTGTCAATCCATCTCCTTGAGGGCCTTCCTCTCCTGCCGGGCCCCTCACTTTACCAAGCATGATGTCCTTCTCCAGGGACTGGTCTCTCCGGTCAACCTGTTCACAATGTGTAAGATGAAGTTGTCATCCTTGCCTCTTCGAAGCCCTCTGGTGTACTTCTTCCAAGACAGATAGGTCTGTCCTTTGAGGAGTCATGGTACTTTCAATATTCTTCAGCACCAGGATTCAAATGTATCAGGTCTTCTTCAGTCTTCTTTATTCATTTGTTTTCTCTTTTTAAAACAATTTTATTTGCACTTCATCTTCATATCATACAATTCAACAGTACAGACATATCAAAAGAGTTCTATAATCTTTACCATAACCAATTTGAGAACATTTTCCTTTTCTCTGTACTCTTCTCAGTCTTCTTTTTTCAGTGTCCAAATTTCGCTTGCATATATGGTAACTGAAAATACCGTGGCTTCGGTCAGGCTCACCTTAGTCCTCAAAGTAACATTCTTGTTTTTCAATACTCTGAAGAGGTCTTATGTAGCAAATGTGTGTCTTTTGATTTGGTAACTGCTGCTTCCATGAGCTTTGGTTGTGGATCCAAGCAAGACAAAATCCTTGACAGCTTCATCCTTGTCTCCATTTATCACGATGTTACCTGTTGTCCCAGTTGTCAGGATTTGTGTTTTCTTTACATTGATTTGTAATCCATACTGAAGGCTGCAATCCGTGATATTCATGAGCAAATGCTTCTACTCCTTCTTACTATAAACAAGTAAGATGTGTCCTTTGCATATCTCACATTGTTAATAAGCAACAAATAAGGAAGACCAGAGAAGATCTACTGTCTATGAATTATGATGTTAACAAAACTATAAATATACCTTGGATTGCCAGAAGAACAAACAAACCTATGTTGGAAGAAGTACAGCCAGAATGCTTCTTAAAAGTGAGCAAGGAAAAGCAACAAAGCCCACATGGAAGAAGCACACCCGCCTCTGTGATCATGAGGTGTCAATGGTATCAGGTATCAGACATC